ATATATATATATATATATATATATATATACTAGAACGACAAAGCGACTTTAACAGGTCAACGAGATTATCGATATTGAAAAAGTAGTGCCGGTAGAGAATGATAATTTTCAGCTTGAAAATTGTACGACGATAAAGCGATCGAAGCAGTAAACGGAGAGAAAGTCATAACAAAGTGAACGACATAGTTGCGCCATTATTTTACAACGGCAGATACGCAACTCTGTCGACAAATGTTGAGATAAGTGGAGCGACTGACGTTTGTTTTCCTGCCCACGAGTTCAAAGATAAATTAATCCCCATAATCCATTTATGTGATTTTATAGTGGCATTCGTCGACATTAAGACTGCACGTAAGAGAGATCGTAGATTCGCGAAGCGCACAGAATGGGCTTCCGGTGGAAAGCTGGTTTCGTTGTAAAAGAAAAAAGAAGTCGCTTTGTCCATTGGCCGTTCGCTAAATCAATAAATGGCTACGTTATGAATATAAGTGAACGTAGGTATTATTGCGCCGTCGTAAACGTGTAACAATCGATTGTTAACTTAATGATAAATAACGATGCGATACATTAACAAAACATAGCATAAGCCAGAGCACATATTATAAACAAGTATTACTCGTGACAAACGCACGCGAACTTACGGGGAGTCGACGACGAGGAGAATTGGTTATGCAGATCGATAAGTTTTGGGCTCTGTCAAACGAACGAAATATATAGTAGATGGAGAGATAAATAGATAGAATTGATACGTAGATACAAATATAGGATGGACGGATAGATAGATAGACAAACAGACAAAGAGACGGACAGACAGTGAAATTGATGTATAGTCAGACAGCCAGTCACATACGTATAGAATAACCTTGAATTGGTCTCTAGTAGAATACGAACTAAGTTAGATCTGCCAATTCTCCACGGCGCCAAATTCCTCGTGCGGTATTACTTCAGACAGTAACAACGTCCTAATTCAACTTCCTAAACAAATTTGTCCAATAATCAAGGTACTCGTCATGCTGCTTCCCAATAGACGTCAACAGCATGGGCGGTGTAATATGATAAAATGCCATAGACGCACCCTTTGCAATGTTTCCAACGTTACAACTGTTAAGGTTGCATGAAACGTTGTTACAGTCAGTTTTACTTTATCCGTAGCTTGAAAAGAGTGCGTTTTCACTGACATTACACTGTGAAGATACAAGATGTTACAGGTAACTCGATCATGACGTGTATTCAAGGAACCAAAGTTGAATTTAAAGTGAATTTAAATTCAATTCGACAACTGTGCTACTCGGTACTTTAATGGAGTTAGATAACGACATTGAATTTGGATGCATGGTGGATCCTGTAATGTACGTCAGTAGTGAGAGCTACTTGCGACACACCTTGTCTCTTGGCGATAGTAGTCGATTGCGATGTTTGAGAAGATAATGAATGGCAGCCTCGGCTTTGTTAACGTGCCTCAAATTCTACAAAGATACCGTTAAAAGTATAATATCCCGAACTTACCGGCATGAGGTGGTGCCAGTAAGGATCGACTAGAGCTGAAGAATGGCCGTAGAGAAGGTTTTGGTGTACTGCTTACTGACATTGTGTCCAATTCTGGACCACTGTCCGACAAGTCTTCAAGTTCATCAAAAAGTTCTTCGATCTCCATGTCTCCACCTGGAGTGAATTATTAATGACAAAGATGTATTAGGAACTGAGTTCCCAATAGCAGCGAAGACTGTTAAACTCACCAGATAACTTCTGTCCGATCTCTTCCTGATCATGTTCCAACTCTTCGGAGACCCTAAACCGTTTCAGCAGAGCAATGAATTTCTGCTTTAAGTTTCTTTGCTGAAAGCAGACAAGAATTTTGTCGACAAGAAGAAGACAGACTTAACAAAAGTTTCTTAAGGATATTAGTCAAGATGTGAAGTAGTCAACAAATCAAAAGAAATTCTTATCTGTACACACCCTGGCATTAGTTGGAATCTTCCCACGACTTTTTCGCCTGGGTACCTCGAGGGTGGGTTCGCTGTCACTACCCTCAGCTTCTCCTTCAGAACTGAACTCCTCCTCCTCGTCACTGAACTCAGCTCCCAGTCTCTCATTCGGATCGTTCATGAGCCTTTTGTCGTGATCGACAGGCTGGGAGCTGAGTGCCACTACACTAACCCGTGCTAGAACGACGGAGTGACCTCCGTATTTCTCAGCCTTGTCAGATACCAATTCCAATTCTAGATCCATTTGTTTCTGAAGAACCTACCAAAGAGACAGACCTTGTTAGAGTCAATACGAACATACATTAGAAACGTCGTCTTACCTGAGCCATATTGATGACACCCTCTGCCAAGGTCTTGTAGCCTAGCATCGTCCGGTTCTTATATCTTTTTCGTCTTTGAAGTAGAATAAGCAGCTTGTTACCATCCCTCTTAAGGAAGTGAGGATACTGCAATGCAAACTGAAGCTCCAGTTCGGTATCCAGCATCCCGCCAGGCGGTACGGCCATTTCGTTCGACCGTAAAGTTCTCTTGGAGCTTTGCATCTTGACAGCCACACTGATGGAAGCTAGATCAGAGCCCAGAGGTCGAAGAAGAACCAATCGGCTGAGAGTGAGGGAGCAGAGTCTAGAAAGTAAAAGCAAGATCACCAGTCATAAAAAGAATCACAATAGAATCACAGCGTCATTGCACAAGACACAAAATGAAACAAGAATAATAAAGTATTAAAAAGAAACATTGAATCCTACAGTATGACCGAAGAAAAGTATATTAAGTGACAAGTGTCGATCACCCTTAGATATAAAAATAGCCCAGCAGGTATCCTTAAATAATTTGTTACGACTGTATATAAAAATCTATAAGATAGTCCTCAAGGGCGATGTCGGGGGGTGGTGGGTTTAGAAAAGGAGTTTCCCCAGTGCGCCCATGGGACCCTCACGCCAAAGGAAACAAGGTGGTTGTTATTTTTATTTATGGATCCCACCCCCGTTGCGGGGGTGGCGACTAAACATAACCCTTGTGAACATAGCTGCAGGTGGTGTGACTACCGGTAGCCAGGTAACATGCCATACATATAGTAATACATAGGCGCCCACGCTTAAGGTCTATTTATGGTCACAGGTACTCCACCAAGTAGACTCGGACGACCCGGTCCCGAGCGTATGGCAATAACCCTTGCAATAAACTAAATCCATTAAACTCACGCATCCATTAGCCTGAACTTGACTGAACCAAGTTGTTGAACTCAGTAAACCATAAAGAACACTGTGTACAGCGTAGAAGTGTCGAACGTCAAAGACCAAGGGGTCCTGGTGTTTGATGTCGCAAATTACCTCGAGTGGCAATGAGCCATTGAAATACAGATGGGGGATGTTGATCAAGAGGTCGAAGAGCCTTTTCCCATTATGCATATTGGGTGCATTATCGGTAACGCACCTATCGTTGCCATCGATAAGAGGTAAGGTTAGGCAGGCAGGCAGACAGCCACGACGCCGTAGGTGGAAACGAAACGGGTGCTAAATTGCTGCTGAACTAGATTGCGTGTCTCTTCAGGGTAATTGGCTCTCGTACGAGTGAAGCTGTAGTTTGCCGTCGTTATCATAGACAAGTAACAAGCCCCGTACCGTGAATAAAAACCGACGGCTCTGAGGAAGCTTCGTGAAATTCACGCCTGGTTAAGCTAAGGACGTCTTTATTTCGTAACGCGGAATTATCGACGGGGGATTTAAGTGGGCCTGAATTTAGGCCAAATAAACTCTAGGAAAGTCAGATTGGATACGTTCTGGGTGACCTCGGACGTGGCCTCGGAATTTATTTATCGAGCTTGGAGAGCTTCCAGGCGGCTGGAGCAGATACCGGAATTATGAAACAGTCCGAGGAGAAGAGTACGGCGCAGTTCGAAAAGCGTTAATAAGCATTCGTTGCGGTCATGTCTTATCTCTCTTTTCTCAATCTCTCTCTCTCTCTCTATTTATCTTTAAGCAACCACGAAGGAGTAGCTCCGCGTATAAACCAGACGTAACCCTCTGGAAAAAGAAGGATCGCTCGTCATTCTTTAGTGAGAGTCGCCCAGGGACGGGGGGACGAGACGAGGAATTCTGGTGCCCCGGAATCATTGACTCTTCCAGATTCAATTTGGACCAATTACAATAATTCACCCTGGAGGCTGCAATACTGGAAAAAAAAAAAAAAAAAAAAAAAATCAAATTCAAGTTAACCCAGTATTGTATAATTTTTCTCTCCTGATCATACCCTCTTCGAATTTCCATCGAATACATCATACACAAAACATTGATGTGCTTTTAGAACGCTGTAAATATAAAAGGACTTAAATGTCGCTCAATTAAATTTAAATATTCGCAGTTACCTAATTCTAACCCTCTGCAGGTATCTAACCATGAATAATTTTACAATAAATAAATTCCATTCAACAGATATCCCAATAAAAACAATAGCCCTCGAGCACCGTCCATCACCAGGAAACGGGTGCCCAGCAGACGAGCACCGTATTCCAAGGAAGAACCCTCGACGGTACAAGAGGTAGCTGCGGGCCCTCACTCTGTCCAAGTAGGGTGCGAGAGGTCGCTCGGTGACATTGAATCGATACATTGAGGCTTGGGGTTGGCTATTACGGGTTCCGTGGTTCCAGCCCCACGTTGAACAAAACAGCCGTGGGAGGAGCTGAAACGTAACGCCTGCGAATAACATGAATCACCTAGCGTGGTCGACTGATGAATGAGGGTTCGTGGCGCGGGTGAGGGGGCTACAGGGGGAAATCACCCACTGCCAATCCCAGTCCCCACCATCTTATCTGTACCCAGCCACCACATCCCCGTATCAACACCCCAGAGGGACACCGAAGGCCGAAAGATGACTTTAATCCTGAAATCATCGGCATGGATTTTCGATGCGAATCACCCGGAAAGTCTATTGCCCTCTGCTTCCTGAATAAGATATATATATAAAAGCGAAAGTATCCGATGCCCATGAGATATCCGTAGAGTATTTGCGTGGTTCCTACTTTTTCGAAATACTTTCCTGAGATCTTGCAACCTACGCTTTGTAGAAACGGCCGTGAGAGAACGAACGGATATCCGAGAGCCGAGGATGTGTATCGAGGAATAAGTAGAACGTAAAGAGCATTGCGAGTCTGCCTTTAGGAGCTCTGCTTTCGAAGCCGACAATACCATAGACGTACAAGTGTCTATATATATATATATATATACACACACACAGTGTCTTCAAGCTGTAGAGATACGTCGCAGAGTTCACCCTCTCGTTATTCAACTGTTTGTCTCGAAGTATTCCATCTCGTTCTAGCTGGCGAAGAGCGTTTGTTATGAATGACGGCTGGACTCCGGGAAGCTACGCCTACGAATGCGTGTATTAAAAAGTATGATGAATCAATGACAAAATAAAAGATCAAGGATTCAAAGTTTGTCGCCTGGCGTAATGAAGGAGAGAGAAAAATAATAAATACGACAGTGTCCACACACTGTGAATCCTCGTGCTCGCGGTCGGTTAGATAGAATCGTAGGAATCGATCCTGGGGGGCAGCGACGACGTGGGACGCCGCGTCGTCGGACAAAACGCGATGACACGATACCATCGGGGCTGCACGAGAGAGAAGAGGTAGGTATCGAGAACCTAGGCGAGGGCCAACTACGTGCGATAAGGCGCACGGCTAATGACGATACGAATTAAAATTTCATGTCGACATCGATTCCTCTGGGTCTTCTACGGCCCAGGGAGTTCTTGGCGGACGAACCCTGATGCCATCGTGACTTTCTCTCTAACCTATAAATACATCGGAATTAACATTGTTATGTTGAATAAACGGATCAATTTGGTAGATGCTTAAATGCCTCGAATCATGCGTTACCTGTCATTAGAATTCGTCTGACTGAAGATCAGAATAAATTTGAATTTTTTTTTTTATTCTTCCTCGCGGACAACGGTAATCAAATGTACGAGCGTCTCTGGTAAGAGCGACTATTGTTCTGAGAGTCATGAAGCTCAAAAGGAACTCGTGGCGCCACCTGGAATAAAACTAACCCCAATGTGTCAAACGCTTCCTGTAGAGACACTTAGCACCTTTCCCAGATCTTCTTCCTTTTCAATTCGGGTGGCTGCAGCTCAATGTCGCCATTCGGGCATGATTTTACCGTCCCAAGTAACCATCCTGGATGATCTTGGGTTCGTTGGAGAGAAAGAAAAAAAAATTTCTTTGCAAGATCATTCGCGAGCTTCGGATGTAGAATTGTATGAAAAAAATTGGACGGGATCGGGAGGTTGCATAAAAGAGAGAGAAAAATAGATAACACAAATATACCCAATAACATATCCCTTTCTGTATATACTAGAGCAACGTGAACCTATTCGATGGTCGCAAGCAACGTCGATATCCAATAAGCAATTTCACAAGTGAATCCTGAAGGAACGAGAGGAGTCAACATGGCGATGCGAAATCCGCACGAGTTCTGCCAAGTAATTCTCGAAATGCAATAAATGAAAAAAATAACCAACTTCCCTCGCATCTAATATACATTTCAAAGGCATTAATCGTGTGTCTCCGGGAGAGAGACAGTCCTGTCAATATTCTAAGAAGCGTCAGAGACCCAAGAAATATATATTTTCCCTTTCGAATCGGAAAATTAGAAATATTCACAATTCTCGTCGTAAGGTTAACATCGTATCCCCAAAGAATTATATACCTCCCACGACTATCCATTTAAAAAATTTCATGCACGATCAATCTCCATTGGGAATAATGGAGAAAAAAGTCAGCAGCCGTCACGAAAAGAAATACGTAAAGTTCACTAGACAAACGACCAGTGCGGCCGGATCAGCTGATTTAACATGTAATGCTATTTATACATTGAAACGAAGTTGCACGTCAGGGTCTTCCTGGCGTCACGGATACCAGAAAACGTACAAGGTGAAGGTCCTCGTCGTGAATGTTCGGGACAAGACTCCCCCCCCTCTCCAGGAGCGTACTCAGACGACAATATACAAAAGAGCATCCACTCTGGGCAACAGCTGATCCTGACGTAATATCGTCAGCGGCTCGAACTTTGGGGCTACTCGAAATAAGACGGATGCCGTCGCGTAACGACGCGATTCTCCTTTGCCAAAGTTACGCAACCTCTCTAATGTTAGTGACTACCGATCACGGGAATATCTTAGCAGAAGCTGAACCTTAAAAAAAATTACAGCGTACTCTGATTCAAGTATAGCGAATTGACTGTTCATGAAATTAATAATAATAAGCATTAAGCGCAGACGCGGTGAAGTAATTGCCAAAGGTGATCGACCCACGTCCGCTATCTACTGACTATTAAATTAATCGAACAGACTTACGAGGTTGTCAGGTAAAATTATCAAGTTTGCAAATTGCTATTGGAGTATGCGAGAGTGTTTGCTTTTCTTATAATCCACACTTCCTCGCGTATCTCAAGTCCAAAACCGTTGGCACGTTATACCAGTCCCCCGGCCGAGAATAGATACTAGAGTGTCCTTAAAGCCAGGAAGTATTTTTTGCTTATGCACGCATGTAGATGCATTCGAGAAGCCTGGGCGCCATCGCCACATGAGTCAACGACGCTTTCATAATTTATTGTTAAATCCTAGTCCCGTCTCTTCTGCAAACTACACAGAATTAATTCACACCGTAAGCAGCTGTAAGGAGAATAAAATAAATTTTCATTTTATGAAGTGGACACGTTTTTTTTTTTTTTTTTTTTTTTTTTTTTTTTTTTTTTTTTTTTTTTTTTTTTTTTTTTTTTTTTTGACAAATTCAGATCCGATGCATATAATGGCCAGAGTTGCAATGACTGGCGAAGGGAGAGGAGAACAAAAATCTAGTAAAATTTGACTGTGCGGATGACAAGTGAAAAAGTATGTATTTATCAAAATTTAATGTCAATGTATTAATCATCATACAGCAGAAAATATCGGACGGGTTACTTACTCGTGTGAATAAATCTTCAGAGACAAAGATGAAATTCAATAACACGATGACTCATCGTGCCGGATAACAAAAGAAGAGCTTGATACGATGATGCGTATCAAATGAATATTTCCAATTGTTATTCATAAAGCCAGTAGCGTCATCCAGATCCGATCGTCGTCTTCATCGTCAGAGCATATTCAATATGGCGAACAAGGGCCTCTTTTAGCCCGAAGAAAGAGTCCTTGGATACAGAATCCAATTCACGTACGTCATGCATTGCGCCAATTCGCAGTACAATTTACTTAGCGCACAAGAGAAGTCATTCTCGTGCGTATCAGCGTAAGGCAATTGAAGAGAGCGACAGACGCCTGGAGGTGACGTCTCGTACTTACGAAATAAATAAATCGATAACGGTGACACTCGAGACGCGAAAAAAAGTTACAACAACCGAAGCAATCGTAACTTCCAACAAAAGTCCACCTCATCGATAAATACTCGAGTGCAATCGAGGTAAATGATTTATCGATCATTCTCGATTCGCATCGAGTCACGAGCGTGCCGTCGTCGAGTCGTCTTTGTAGCGTCTACCGGCGTCCCCCTCTACCCGGCATTGCCGAGAGCCAGCGAGTAGAAGCCAGACTAAAGAAAATACCCAGAGGCCCTCGGTGCGTTCTTTATACCAACGGAGTCAAAACAAGCACTGCGCAACGATGTGTATTAGCAACTTGTAACAAAGAATATTAATTTTGTATGACAAAATTCCTAACATAATTACGAGAGTCAAACAAACAATTACTACCTCCTTCCTGACCTTCAAAAGTGTCACTGCAGACGCGACACAATAACGAAAGTCTTTCGCATGACTCAGGATAAAGTTCCGTAATTCTATGTCGGTACTAAAAGCATGGTCGTGCCTCGCCCAGTAGCACGCAGATAAACAGAGACACTGCGATGCTCGTACTACTGAAAGTAAATTTCGAGAGATACCCTTGACCCTAAAGAATGTAAGTTTTCATAAGGACCAGCGACAGAAGGAAAAGGTAAAAAAAGGAACAAAAATTAATACCGCGACAACGACAAAAATTATTCTCCCAAAAGGCATTATGCAAGAAAGAACAAGTAATGGCGATGGCGTGTGAAATGACGAGAAAAAAATGCAAACTGCAAGAGGAAACTGCACTTCGTGATACGGATATGACGAGTATCCGTTGACTGCATAGGTGATGTAAACAAAGAGATATTTTAACGCCAATCTCATGGATCGTTCTTCCGTTTCTCTTTACCGGTAGCAAAAAGTGCTTCCCGCCCTCTCTTTCTTTCTCTCCTTCCGAAAAATTGAGCCAATGGTGGCAGCACTGACGATTTTCATAAACGTCAATTCGACAATGACGTACGAAGTCGTGTACAGGTCAAACTGAGACACCGTCATTCCGTCTCACTCCCACTCGCGCAAATGCACGTAACTCCGTCTCTCGCGCACTCTCCTGCCACATAGGAAATACTTAAAATTCAAACCAAACCATTAACCGTCCCCGTCCACGTGTGGCGCTCGAGTCAATGCATAAATATACTGGCTATGTGCGTGTAAGCACCCAGATCCAATATCTAACAATAATTCGTGCACAGTCGTGCACGTACGTTCCATCAGTGCTACCAATTTTGTTGAACGGCTTTTTTTCTGCTCGACTTTTCCACTGCACGTGCAATTCGATACACGCTTAAATGTGTCAGCTGTGTCTGCATGCATCACGTACGTATATAAGTGCAGGCATCTGCAGACAGGGTTAAACTCGTACTAAATTAATATCCTCACGGTATCCGGCGTCATCGAGAATAACTCAGGGGAGAGAGAAAAAAAATATAAACGACATAACGTTACGTTACGAAATAGAACAAGAGTAACTATGGTCCGACGAGAGATGAATCTATTGATTTACAAATATTATATCGATTGCTGCCACGATAAGTCGTGGACAATGGATGACTATATCTCTTGTCCCCCCCCCCCTCCACCCCACACTATCGATCAAATCGCATTTTTGTCGTAGTCTGTACGTATTGGATCGTGCTGAAGCGTCACTAACGAATTTTTCAAAGAAAATCGATAATTAAATTTTTAGTTAAACAAAGCAGACAACACCCACGTAATGTTAATCGCAAGAATTCTCTCTAGCTGTGCGGCGACTGTAGTCCAGACGTTTTCTCCCTTGTTGTTTTGACGCGCGGGCACGCGATAAGAAATCTTCGGAGGCTTCGGAATGCGTTAAAAAAAATGTTACGGATACCGAAGGGTGCCTGCGGGTGAGTCGGTCGATGAATCCGTGTCCTATAGAAATTTGATGGATCTTACGAAAGAAAAATAAGAGCTCAGGAGACTCGTATTATGCCGCCTCGACGACCGACGGACACGCCGCTATGAATACGAAACACAAGAAGCAGCAAACACACACGGAAAGGTGGTACCGGGAGTTGAAATACGTGAAAGAGATCGCGTAGAGTCACGAAACAGCCGCAATGCACCAGGGGTTAACCATAGTTACGTCACTGTCGCGGTAACCGGTGGCAGCTTCACGACGGGCTTCGTCTATCACTTTATATCTGTCCTTTTCGCTCTCATTGTCCCCGTCCTGCATATCCATTAGTTCGCACGATTGACGCGACTGTCTTTGACTGTTGGATAAAATAAGTGAAGAGGACAGAAGGAAGTTTTGTGAAAAATAAATTTTCACATGTCACATATTACGAAGTCCACTGAGAAACTCCCTGCGAGTGACAAGCGAAGGAAGAAAAATTTTGAATATCCCGCTCAAAACAATAGTCGAGTTCGTCGGACGTTTGATAAGTCGCGCGAGTCGACCTAACCTAAAAACCACCGGGTCGGAGTGCAATCCGAACACTCAATGTGGTGCAGGGTCGCTGGTTAATTAAATACGTTCGAAACAGTGTTGCTTTATCGTTACTTCGTAATGGCGTCGTGCCATTGGGGTATAGGAAAGTGAATAGTGTGGAGTGAACAAAAAAAAAGTGGAACGTAGTAGAATAAAGTTCCAGTTCAATTCTGACTGGCACAATGTTTCAATTCCCATATGGAATGTGTGAAATTGTCTTGTTTTTTGTCTTCTTATCGCTACCTTCTGTTCCATGTCTCCTCGTTCATCCGACGTCTCCAGCTCGCCGTTCCGAAAATCCCGCGAGTGTTCGTAAAGCTGCTAAATACTATTTCTGCCTAGTCTAGTAGGTACTCCCCAGTACCAGTCCATCCATTTACTCTTCCTCGAGAGTCAAACCACTCCAGGTGGGAAATCGAACACACTCCTTGGCGTACAAGCTCCTCGAGAGCGTCAATGATCTCCCGACAAAGTCCTCCTAACAACGTAAATCGATCGATGCCTCTGTAGGTAACAGATGCCGACTGTGCGCATAGACACAATCGAAAATTATATCATGAATTAAAACATCGGGTTAATCCAAGTCAAAAGTAGCAACGTCAAATCGAAATTGTCATACAAAAGTTGCGCATGCCGAACTTATCGATCCCTCTTTTAAAAAAAACGTACATTTTTCAGATAGTACATTTATAAAACACCAAGAGACATCCCTTCGTTCGGTATCAATGCGTCGCTGTCAACAAACTTCCAACCCCAATAAAAGATAAAGAAGGATATTTTAATTTTACAACTCTAAAGGTCTATTTACCTGCGACAAAGGAATGTCAAATATCGTATTTCAGAACACGGTAAAGTGACTATGTCCCACTATAGAAGAAGACTATTACCCGTCACCCTGAGTTCTCTCTACGAAACGATACCGAAATAGGGCTACCGGCCATTATGGGATTCAGGGGCAAAACTATTCGCGCGTAACGTACTATGGAAACTTAATGCTCTGAACGTAAGTGAGGGAATGGAGGGACTGGAGGGAAAGGGAGCAAGGGAACTGCGGAACGATATTTGGCAAATTGCTGCCACTTACAGTCAGTACGAAACCTCTTAATTCTGACTCCTCTTGCATTTCCTTTTCTCTCTCCTGGTTTTACATGTATTTAGAATGATCTAGACGAAATTGTATTCGCACAAATAGATGGCGTTGATACACATCGTTATCAAATCGACTAATGAGTAGTATTGTTATCGTTATTAAAAATGAAATGAAAACACTCGTAAATTTTTGCGTGTTTATACTCAATAAAAAGCTTCCGGAATTTCGTAGGTTTTAACTTAACCTTAAAAAATAATACCATTTGTATTTACGTAATCAAAATTGTTGCCTAGTCGACGAAAGTGCACGTTAAGGTGATTAGATGATAACAGTCAGTCCAAGATAAAATTATATATATATATATATATATATATATGTTTGTGTGTGTGTGTATAAAAGGCATATACAAAATTTGAACATGATTCAACGTATAGTTTGTGATTTAAAAAATATAAAAATTCCAACATCCACTATATAGATATAACCTAACCTATAAGGACGAATAACTTTAAAATTCATTATTTTCATTTTCGATAGGTAGAATGTAACGATTTATAGCTTGAGTGTTGAGGTTATGTTATATTTTGACTTATTTATTTTTGAACTAAAAATTTCGGTATTTTTTACCGCTTGCTTAACTCGTGATACGCCGTTACTATTATGATTATAATCGCCAGACCATATACATGAAAGCGAGAGTTGGTTCCATTTTCAATTTGGCACGCGACATATGGCAAAAGTGTATACGTTTCATTTTCCGGATGCATAGCAAGTCGAAATTTCGGGGGGGGGG